TCCTATTACATCTGTCCAGGGAGAGTTTCAGAGCATGGTTTGCATTTAAGAACAGGGTTTTGTAAATGTAGTTGACACAAGAGAATGTGTGGAGGGAGTTAATATTTAGCATGTTAAGGGATTTAAACAAGGGGGCTGAGTGTTGTCTGAAAGCAGAGTTTGTTATTATTCTGATAGCAGATTTTTGCTGGGTTATGATGTGCTTAAGGTGGTTTGCAGTGGTAGACCCCCATGCACAGATACCATAATTAAGATAGGGATAGATTAGTGCGTAATATAGTGAGAGGAGAGCAGAGTTAGGAACATAATATCTTATTTTGGAAAGTATACCAACTGTTTTAGAGACTTTCTTAGTTATGTGTTGAATGTGGGTGCTGAAGTTGAGTCTTTTGTCTAGGAATAGGCCAAGATACTTTCCATCATTTTTATTACTGATGTTAATGTTGTCGATCTGTAGCTGAATTGCATTCGATGATTTGCTTCCAAATAAGATGTAGTAGATCTTTTCTATGTTTAGTGTTTGTTAGTTGACATCCATAAGTGGACTTTTTTTAATTCATTATTCACAACATTATTTAGTGTATATGGGTTGGGGTCTGAATAGATGAGGGTAGTATCATCAGCAAACAATATAGGTTTAAGAATATTAGAAACATTAGGCAGATCATTGATATATATATAAGAAATAGAAGAGGTCCCAAGATGCTGCCCTGTGGCACTCCAACGGTTATTGGTAGTGTGGAAGAGGTTGTATAATTGATGGTTACTCATTGGTGTCTGTCACTATGATAGGATCGGATATAGTCCAGGGCAAGGCCTCGGATTCCATAATGCTGGAGTTTAAGTAAGAGGTAGTTGTGATTAACAGTATCAAAGGCTTTTCTTAGGTTAATGAAGAGTCCAATCGGAAACTCATTTTTATCAAGGGCTGAGTAGATTACGTCAAGGAGACTAATGATTGCATCATTGGTGCTCTTTTGGGACCGGAAGCCAAACTGGCAGGGCCTGAGTGTGTCGAATTTTACGAGGTAGGAATAAAGCTGTTTGTAGATAATTTTTTCAAATATTTTTGATAGAATGGGTAGGTTTGATATTGGTCTATAATTGTTTATGTCCGCCGGATTGCCTCCTTTATGGACTGGCGTTACTCTTGGTTTTTTAAGGATATCAGGGAAGGTATAATACTCTATGGATTTGTTGAACAGTAGAGTTATGAGAGACGCTCTTGTATACAATAGACAGAATTTCACTGGTGTTCCCTGCTTTGGTTTTTAGTGAGTGAACGATGGACACAACATCTGCCGGGCTGACTGGTAAAAGGAGAAGAGAGTTTGGACAGCTGCCTGAGAGATATGTGTTAATATGGGTCCGAGTCTGTGGGATTTTTCTGGTAAGATTAGCACCACGCGGTGAAAAGAAACTATCAAATTCATTTGCCATTTCTAAATCAGTTGACGGTGTATACCCATCCTTATTGAGTTTTATTTGGTTATGTGAGTGTTGTTTAGTTCCTAGGATACTAGAGATGGTTTTCCATGTGCTTTTCATGTTGCCTTATTGTCCCAATTGCATTGTCCCTCTTACGGTCGTGCATGTCCTTCTTGAATGTCATGACTTCCAGGACGAGCGTGTGTCTTGCTTTCCGACCGCCCCTCGCGGTCCAACCCGTTCTCGCAAATTCGTAAAGTCAATATTGACTTATTAACTACGTGCATAGGTGATATACTAAACATAATAGATACCCTTAAAAAGATTCATAGAAAACACCGACCTTACCTAACCTTGTTAGTATCTTAAGATAAGCATCTTATTGCTTCGTAATTACAATTATTACTTAACCTATACCTATTATAGGTATAGGTAATAATTGTAATTACGAAGCAATAAGATGCTTATCTTAAGATACTAACAAGGTTAGGTAAGGTCGGTGTTTTCTATGAATCTTTATAAGGGTATCTATTATGTTAAGTATGTCACCTATGCACATATTTAATAAGTCAATATTGACTTATTAAATTTGCGAGAACGGGTTGCGCGGTCACCTATCCCTCAATAGAATTCTTGGTGACTCGGATACTTTTGATATCGTTCGCGTTATGCGTTTTTGCTCTCGTATTGGCATCCTTGGTGATATTTAGCGCCCTCTGATTATTCCACACATTTAATGGTGCTATATAGCCTTCCCGGTTTGGTGCCTTCTTTTGATAATTACTTACTTTTCATGTTGCCTTTTGCTTCATTGAATCTATTCACATAATATGAAAGTTTTGCCTTTCTTATGATACTGGTAAGCATTGATGAGTACCTTTTAACTACTTCCTTTGTAACTAGGCCAATCCTAAGTTTCTTTTCATATTCATGTTTCTTGTTGATTGATTTGAAAATGCCACTTGTGAGCTATGGATTGTTTAATCTTTTGTCAGTTACTTGCTTGGTAAGGAGAGGACAATGAAGGTTGTAGAGGCTTAGAGTTTTGGAGAGGAAGAGGTTAGCTAATGAATTTATATCCTGAGTATTATTGAATTCAGAATCTCAGTTAATATTGTGGAGTGCATTTGTAAGATTGCCTAAAGCTGATTCACTGTGTAACCTGAATGCAAGTTTCTTGCTTTCTGGTGGTGTTATGTCTATGTTCGCTATAAGAAAAGTAGGATAATGGTTAGTTGTTCTGTCGTAGATTATACCAGATACAAGGGGAGCTGTTATGTTAGTCCATATGTGATCCAAGGTAGTGGCTGATGTTTGAGTGACTCGGGTAGGTTTGGTGATTTTGGGGATCAGCATACAGGAGTTCATGCTGTTAATGAAATAATCAACTTGAGAGCAACTTTGTTGAGCCAGGTCAACGTTGAAGTCTCCTCCCAGAATGAACTGTAAACTGAAAACTGAACTGTGCAACTGAAAGCTCCACACCCCAGAGGGATTTGAACCCAGACAGCCAGGAGCTCAATGTACCTTTATGGTTCTTTAACCATTCGACCAACCGTGTCTGTACTGAAGACATTGGTAGCCAAGGCTATTTCCCCAACATCCTGACAGCACTTGATGATAAGCTTCGGCATAGATATTTCATCAAAGCACCTCATTTTGTGGGGCCACGTGAGCAGCACAAATGCGAACAAGCTTGAATGGTCCCCAAGCATATATGCAACTAAAAAACTCCACACCCTAGAGGGATTCGAACCCATACTGCCAGAAGCTTACCCCATAAAATGAGGTGATTCGATGAAATATCTATGCCCAAGCTTACCACCAAGTGCTGTCGGGATGCTGGGGAAATAGCATCGGCTACCAATGTCTTTTGTACAGTCACAGTTGGTCGAGTGGTTAAAGAACCGGGTACGCCGTGGTGCATTGAGCTCCTGGCTGTCTGGGTTCCAATCACTCTGGGGGTGTGGAGTTTTCAGTCATATATATATATATATATATATATATATATATATATATATATATATATATATATATATATATATATATATATATATATATATATATATATATATATATATATATATATATATATATATATATATATATATATATATATATATATATATATATATATATATATATATATATATATATATATATATATATATATATATATATATATATATATATATATATATATATATATATATATATATATATATATATATATATATATATATATATATATATATATATATATATATATATGTATATATATGTCGTACCTAGTAGCCAGAACTCACTTCTCAGCCTACTATTCAAGGCCCGATTTGCCTAATAAGCCAAGTTTTCCTGAATTAATTTATTTACTATAATTTTTTTCTTATGAAATGATAAAGCTACCCTTTTCACTATGTATGAGGTCAATTTTTTTTATTGGAGTTAAAATTAACGTAGATATATGACCGAACCTAACCAACCCTACCTAACCTAACCTAACCTATATATATAGGTAAGGTTAGGTTAGGTAGCCAAAAAAAGCTAGGTTAGGTTAGGTTAGGTAGGTTAGGTAGACGAAAAAACATTAATTCATGAAAACTTGGCTTATTAGGCAAATCGGGCCTTGCATAGTAGGCTGAGAAGTGAGTTCTGGCTACTAGGTACGACATATATATATATATATATATATATATATATATATATATATATATATATATATATATATATATATATATATATATATATATATATATATATATATATATATATATATATATATATATATATATATATATATATATATATATATATATATATATATGTATATATATACATATATATATATATATATATATATATATATATATATATATATATATATATATATATATATATATATATATATATATATATATATATATATATATGTATATATATATATATATGTATATATATATATATATATATATATATATATATATATATATATATATATATATATATATATATATATATATATATATATATATATATATATATATATATATATATATATATATATATATATATATATATATATATATATATATATATATATATATATATATATATATATATATATATATATATATATATATATATATATATATATATATATATATATATATATATATATATATATATATATATATATATATATATATATATATATATATATATATATATATATATATATATATATATATATATATATATATATATATATATATATATATATATATATATATATATATATATATGTATATATATATATATATATATATATATATATATATATATATATATATATATATATATATATATATATATATATATATATCATAACAGTTTTCTTGCGACATATTTCAATCTACATAAATAGTTGTTATATATATATATATATATATATATATATATATATATATATATATATATATATATATATAACAACTATTTATGTAGATTGAAATATGTCGCAAGAAAACTGTTATGATAAGAAATGATATGAAATCTTATCTTCAGACGGTTTAGTGGCCCAGTATAAGATGGTTCCTGGAGTGTACTGGGTGAATGGGAGCCACTGTCCAGCACTACGTGTGTCCACACCACTTGGGTCTGTCTGTGTGCTTACCGTCACCCTCAGCTTGTGGGGCCCCACAGCGACAACACTTTTAGAACTCATCAGTCAAAGTTTGCAATGAAGTCATAATAAGTGGCTGACGTGGACAACAAATCAAACATTTGCGTTCACAACTTGGTTCAAGTGAGAGGCAAAATCAGGTAAGATATGCATCTATTACACCCACTGAACATTATGAAAGAGCATTATTATGAAAGCATAATATATAAAAAGTAAACGTGCCAAAGAATCAGATTATTAGCATTATTAATTAAAGAAATTAACAAACCTCAGCTATCCATTTTGATAGACTGATTATTTTTATTTCCTCAGACTTTATTTAACATAGAAAAATATAGAGTGCTTAAACTGTATTAAATAATTAAAAATCGCTTTTGGGTGGCCTATTTGTTGAAAATGGTTGGTATTGGTTGGACCCATGGTTGATAGGCCTCAATTAGGTCCAACACCAAACCAGGGCCCTTAGTTAGCTAAGCTGGCTCACAACCAATTTAACCCAACTATTATTCCAGGCAGGGCAAGGTATTTAGACATGTTTTCTTAAACCTGATGTGCCTGTTCACTTCACAAATGTAGGTACATAACTTAGGCAACTGTTTTCAGTTGCATTCGGCAGGTGAGTCATTGACCTAAGTAGGCCTTTATAAGTCTAACAGGTTTCTTGTCCACGAAAATGGGAAACTAAAATAGGGGAAAAACATTTTACGGTTCATTAAATGTTATATTTATATCTGAAACAAATATATCAGTAAGGGAGTTTCGTACCTACTGGATGAAAATAAATATTACAAGAAATTACCTGTTTAAAATTATCTGTTCGATTAAGGACCTGCCCGAAACGCTATGTGTGCTTTATAAGAATGTAAAAACATCAATGCTATGTACTCTTATAAACCTAATGTACCTTCTTGTATATATATAAATAAATAAATAAATAAAAGTACTCTACAAATAAGCCATTTGAGAAGATTAGGAGAGGTGCACTCAAACATATAGTTCGTATAAAATAAACAATGAATTATAGTTAACAGGGAAATAGCAGTTCGGTTATATAGACTTCGTCTAGGTTACAGATGCAACTGGAAAATTGATGAACCCAGACAGAGGAATGCATCTTCTGCCAAACAATCACAGAAAAGCCACTATTTCACTATCTCCTGGAATGTGAAGCAACCAACAACCTTAGAAGAGTCCTTGAATCTTTCAGTAACCAGCCTGAAGCCATCAACACAGCCACTCTTCTGGTCAAAAAAGGTGTCCAGCAGCTGGACACCCTCATAAATACTGTCAAGCAGTATCCTTCCCCGCGATAGCAGCCTGATGATTAAATGCTACCTCAGCACACATTTACTAAAAAAAAAAAAATCTACTTACGTGCTATTCATGCCCGTGCACCACTTGGGTGGCTTAATCTTCATCAATCAATCAGTAGTTAATACACACAAACGTTACGGGCTCACTAAGACATTTTGTAGCACTAAGACGTTGCTACATGGACATTACTTTCTGAGTAGTTTTTAAACAGGTTTTAAGTTGGATGCAAACAGTTAAGTCATAAGCTTTGAGAAATTGCTGTATAATTCAGGAAATAAATTTATTAGCAGTCTACAATAAATAAAAACTATTTAAGAACTTCAGAGTAAGTTATAAGACAAGTGAGTAAACAGTACACAATAAAGAGAGAGAGAGGCAGGACACAAACCGGAGACTTAATGTACCACTATCTAATCAATAATCACTGGGCTTAGTCAAGATAACCTCAAGCAGCTATGTCCGAAATCTCAATTTCTTGCGATCCAAAATCCAGCATTGAATGTACTGAAACGCCTCTTTGTGGATGAATCCTGGTGATTCACTATAGCTATCTTGTTGAGTTTGCTCCTAATCGCAGTTTTGTTTGACCCATCGGGGACCAGAGCAGCCCTCTGCCCCCAGCCTGGACCCCCATCATAGAGGCGCAGTAATGGGTGACAATACACCACCCCACCGGAAGAAGCCGTCACAAAGTCTGTGCAGACAAAACTGAAGGAGAAGGCTGCAAATGAACAAGCCACCCATCAGAGAGCCAAATGAACAGAACGCCCCACGTCCAGAGAAGAGCCTGTAGCTCCCCAATACTACAGACGTAGGTAAAAGCCCACAAGAAAACAGCCTTAAGATATCACAAAGCGAAGGAAAAACTGTAAATTGAGGCTAAGAGATAAAACTAGTACCTGGTTTAGAGACCAGGATGGCTCAGGAGGAGCATGAGAAGGGCAGAGATGAAAAAAAGTGTTCGACAATGTGCGATATGGTGCCGTGAGGGGATTGACACTGAAGACAAGCAACGGTGGCTCCTCCTCCAATGCCAAACGATAAGAGGTGACATTATTAGGCATGAGATGCTAACTGAGAAATAACCCTGACAATAAGGACAGAACAGACCTGACCATAATTGAAGAAAGATGAGCCGCGTTTTCGCATAGGGGGTTCTTGATGACCTAAAAAAACAGTGACCATTTTCATATCCTTGTCACCTTCTGCTCTTTTCGCTCTCTCCTCTCCTTCCCTAGGTGGCAGTTTGCCAAGGCTGACTGAAATCTATTCAACCCTCCATGCTGCTCTTTCCGACCTCTCTGATCTGCCCCTTCCCCGAGCCCTCCACCTTTTTCGTGACACCAAATTCGACGCTGCCCTACGTCCTGTTCCTCGCTCCACCTCCCGGGTTAGTTTAGTTCATTTATTATCTTATCTCATTTATTATTATTTCCACTACTACCCATCTTGTGGGCGGTAGTGGAAATGGTTAGAGAGGCACATCGCGGGCTCAGGGACTGAACCCTAAAAATTCATTTAACTAACAAAGCTACAATCTTGATGAGCTAGTTACAAAATTCAGTACACATTGTCACATGTGATTCGAGCTCGACCACAAATACAGTTTCTAAATTAAGCAACTGATATATGTGGAGAGCTAGTGTCACAATTGATATGTTTGTTCTACACACCACCCATTATCCAACCACTTGGGGTGGCCGGTAGAGCGACAGTCTCGCTTCATGCAGGTCGGCGTTCAATCCCCGACCGTCCAAGTGGTTGGGTACCATTCCTTCCCCCGTCCCATCCCAAATCCTTTTCCTGACCCCTTTCCAGTGCTCCTTTCCCTTTCCAGTCGTAATGGCTTGGCGCTTTCTCCTGATAGTTTCCTCCCTCCCCACCCCCCATCCAGTGGGCAGCGGTGGATAGGTTACAATCACTTAGTTACTACCTACAGTTAGCAAACTGAGGATATTTGGCTAAGATTTCTGGTAGCAGATCACTTTGAATGAAATATTTACATATCTCTGGAACATTTGTTATAGAATTGTCTCTAAATTCACGTATCTTTTCGCACTCCATCACATAGTGACGGAGGGTATACGAATAATTTTTTTGACAGTTTACATTTGGTCAGGTCTACATCAGTAGATAATGAGAATTCCCAGAGATACTTGTAACCGAGTCTAAGCCGAGCAGTAGTAACATCTAGAAACCTGCTGATTTAATTGGATGATCCATAGATGTGTGGCTCCTCTTGCATGATAGTATGATGATAGATGGAATTACTGGTGTCGATTTCACATTGCCTCATATCTACAAGATTTTACCTGGTTGATACCTGGTTGATGGGGTTCTGGGAGTTCTTCTACTCCCCAAGCCCGGCCCGAGGCCAGACTTGACTTATGAGAGTTTGGTCCACCAGGCTGTTGCTTGGAGCGGCCCTCAGGCCCACATACCCATCACAGCCCGGTTAGTCCGGCACTCCTTGAAGAAAACAATCTAGTTTCTTCTTGAAGATATCCACGGTTGTTCCGGCAATATTTCTGATGCTTGCTGGTAGGACGTTGAACAACCGTGGACCTCTGATGTTCATACAATGTTCTCTGATTGTGCCCATGTCACCTCTGCTCTTCACTGGTTCTATTCTGCATTTTCTTCCATGTCGTTCACTCCAGTACGATGTTATTTTACTGTGCAGATTTGGGGCCTGTCCTTCCAGTATTTTCCATGTGTATATTATTTGGTATCTCTCTCGTCTCCTTTCTAGTGGGTATATTTGGAGAGCTTTGAGACGACCCCAATAATTTAGGTGCTTTATCGCGTCTATGTATGCCGTATATGTTCTCTGTATTCCCTCTATTTCAGCAATCTCTCCTGCTCTGAAGGTGGAAGTGAGTACTGAGCAGTACTCAAGATGGGACAACTCAAGTGATTTGAAGAGTACAACCATTGTGATGGGATCTCTGGGCTTTTTGTTGAAGTTCTTGGTGTACTATTGCTCTCAGACTGCTTATTGACTATCCAAGGTTATACTCATTTTCTCCTTTAGAGGCAGACTCTTTGGCTAACTCATCAGCTCTATCATGCATTTGGAGGTCCTGACATGCGTCTAATACAGAGTTAAGAGTGTTCTGCGTGTTAGCATACCCAGTGGTGTGTATCATTATTACATCAGCATAGCTAATGATGTGCACGTTGGATAGATTAGCGCATAATATAAGGAGAGGAGAGCAGACAATTCTATAACCAATGTTCCAGCTATGTGTAACTATTTCATTCAAAATGATCTGCTACCAGAAATTTTAGTCAAATATCCCCAGTTTGCAAACTGTAGGTAGTAACTAAGTGACTGTAACCTAATTTTGCAAGTATTTACCTACTTATAAGTTTCTTAGATTAAGGACCTGTCCGAAACGCTGCGCGTACAAGAATATAATTACTATGCTATGTATCCTCACAATTCCAATGTACCTTCTTGTATATATATAAATAAATAAATAAATCCACCGCTGCCCACTGGATGGGGGGCGGTGTGCAGGACAAACATATCAATTGTGACACTAGCTCTCCACATATGTCAGTTGCTTAACTTAGAAATTGTACTTGTGGTCGATCTCGAACCCATTTATGATGTGACGACTTATACTGAATTTTGTAACTAGCTCATCAAGTTTGTAACTTGCTTAGCTAAATGAATTGTGGGGTTCAGTTCCTGAGCCCATTATGTGCCTCTGTAACCCTTTCCACTACTGCCCACAAGATGGGTATGAGGTGCATAATAAATGAACTAAACTAACTAACTTATCAACTGGCGATACTCGTGATTTTTTAAGAATTTCAT